CCAACCGCGCAGACAGACCCCAGGCGGGGCGGGACCCCCTGCTGACTAACGCAGGACTCTGCCAGGAGGGATGCGACACAATACACCCTCTCCCCCTCTAGACGCCCCTCCACTGCTAACTGGAGAGTGAAACAGGGAGCCCGAACCTCCTACAAAACTATCCTCATGCCCGGCCCGCGTGGCTCCGTGGTTGAGCGTCAACCCATGAACCAGGAGGTCACGGTTCGATTCCCATCAGGGCACTTGCCCGGGTTGTGGGCGTGGTCCCCACCGTGGGGCGTGCAGGAGGCAGCCGGCCAGTGATTCTCTCTCATCGCTGATGTTTCTCTCTCTCTCCCTCCCCTCCATCTGAGATCAATAAAACCCTATGTCTGTCCATGTCTGGGCCAGGCTGTGCTGTTGGCGAGCCCTCCGACTGTGCCAGGGCCTCAGGTTCTCCCCAGCAGCGTCTGCTGTGAAACCGACAAATGGACCTTAGCCCTGACATTTCCACAAAGCACGCCGGCCCCTGAGTCTGGCTGGGATGTCACACTAATTCACGCAAAGGCCCCAAACACTACAGCGCCTCCAAGGGGGACGTGATCACCACGCGCCTGGGGTCGGCCCTACCGGCGCTCCGAGCCTCTCACCACGGTGGCCACAGCAGGTCCCGCCTCTGGCCCCCAGCGAGCACGCGGCAAACAGCTCTCCTGGGAGGCGTTTTCTCAGGAAGGGAAGATGAACACCCAAACAGAATTCCCCCGCCGGAGCACATCTCTTTCTTGCTAACCACAAACTCTGCCAAAATCTGTTCTACATAATCGTGCTTCCGTTACTTCCTCTTTCTCCGAATGGACACGTTTTACCTTGCAAATCGTGTGTGTGTGTGAGAGAGAGAGACAGCGTGTAAAGATCATGACACAAACTTAAAGAACATCCACAGAACCACACGAAAAGGCGATACCATCCTAAAAACAGGCCCTGACAAAGACGCCCGTCTGCTCACACCGGAGCCCTTTCTGTGCAGCAGGTACTCTGGGCCTGGGCCTGGGGGAGGAACCAGCTCCTTCCGGAGGAGCCGGGACGGGAGCGTGTGGGAGGCAGGGAGGGGACCGCCGAGCGCAGGCAGAGCTGTGAGGTCCGAGTTCATCGCGGGCCAGTGCGACGTCTTCAGAGCAACTCAGTGGACTCAACAAATGTACGAGGCAGGAGCGGGCGAGGGCGGCAGCGTGGAGGGCATGGAAATCGCCCGGCATGCAGGCAGGGCGGGCGGCGAGGGTGACCGGCGGAGCTCTGGCCTTACCCCACAGGCCACCAGGAGGCAGCCGGGGGATCTGCAAAGACAAAGGCTCGGGAGCTTCCTGGTGGAATGAATGGAATGCCGCGGGATGCGCTGCTCAAGTGCGGACGGAAGCCACGCGCCTGTTCCCAAGACCGGGCTGGGGCGCATAGGGTTGCGGAGAGCAGGGCCGGGTGCGCGGTGTGGCCCGTGCAAGTTTCTGTCGCGTGCGGTGCCACCGGACAGGACAAGCACGCGCATCACGTCCTCTCTGCCATTCTTACTCTAAGTCACAGTCGCTGAGTTTATGGCTTCAGAGAGGCCCCGGGACAAGCACTCCTCCCGCACCGGCCGGGAACAGAACGTTCTGGTCAGTCAGCTACTTCGGTAGCTAGAGCTTCAATAAACTCACAGAGGGCTTACGTCCAAGTACGGGAAGAACTGCTATACGAACCAGCAAGAGAGAAAGGCACTCCCCTGAGAAAACAGGCAAAAGATAGGAACAGGCAGTCCAGAACCATCCACGGTGAAATTACTACAAGAAACTAAACTTCAAGGAACTAATTAATAGTCAAGGAAACGCCAATCAAAACAAAAATGAAACACTTTCTTCACTTTTCTGAGTCTGAAGGGAGTTTGAAAGACAGGATTTCGTGTTGATGAGCTTGTGGGAAAGGATGCGTTTAATCCACGGCTAATCCTGTATAAACTGGCCATGGCCAACCAGCGGGTAATTGGTCAGTATCCACTAAAACAAAGAGTGTGCAGCCCAGCCGGTGTGGCTCGGTGGTTGAACGTTGACCTATGAACCAGGAGGTCATGGTTTGATTCCTGGGCAGGGCACATGCCCGGGTCGCAGGCTCAATCCCCAGTGAGGGGCGTGCAGGAGGCAGCCGATCCATGATTCTCTCTCATCATTGATGTTTCTATCTCTCTCCCTCTCCTTTCCCTCTCTGAAATCAATAAAAATATGTGTATTTGAAAAAGTGTGCAAACCCTATGACCCTGCAATCCGCTCTTCGAGTATCTCAATAGTTGGCAGAATGGACCCCAAAACCCCCCGTGCTCACCCCCAGAACCTGGGGCTCTGTTAGGTTACAGGGTAAAGGGCCCAGTGCAACCCCAGGGGCCGTCACATGGAACAGGGGACAGGACAGGCAGAACCAGAGATGACACATGGGAACGCTGTGGCCACAGCCACAGGGGAAAGGGCACCGACCACAAGCAATGCTGAGGCCTCGGGAGCTGCAAAAGGCCGGGAAACGGGTCCCCCAGGGCCTCCGGGCGGAACGCAGCTGGGCCGCACTGGGGTTTAGCCCAGGAAAACCTACTTTCAACTACCGACCACCAGACTGTGAGGTGATCGACTCGTGTGGCTTAAGCCGCTGAAGGTGAGGTAACCTGTTACCGCGGCCGCAGGAAACTAATACACTCCCCTGGGAGGCACGGGCGGCGGACGGGGAGGCGTGTGTCTTCTGAGCCCACAGACATAAAAAGGACACAAACAGGACTGGCAGGGCCCCCCCAACTGAGAGCGACGGCCTCCTCCAGGAAAGAGAGGGGGACTGCATGGGGGCGAGACTTCAACCTAAACTGTAACGGTCTTTCTTTAAAAGAAAATGTGTTTGTGCATGTAGTTCACACTTCAATGTTAAATCCTTAGGAGGGAGTTACCATTCACAGGTTAAACGTATGATAGGAAATGCTGAAAACCACAGGGAACACAGTCATTTTGTTTTTCCTGACAATCCCAAAGGTACTTCAGAGATGCAGACCTCACGGTCCCCACAGTTAACGCTGACGATGGCGCTGGCCCCGCGGACACCACACCGGAGAAGCGGAAATTCGCTGCGTATCCGTAAACCACAACTCCCGCTTCTTCAACCGTGAAAACCAACCTCCCCTAAATTGCGAGACGCACATCATCCCTGGACCAAGTTCACCCTCAAAGGCCGAGGTTCTCACACTCCAGCCCCCCAGCCTCGCCCCCCCACACACACACGCCCCTGAACCGTGCCCACGCGGGCACTGGCCTCTGGGCTTGGTTTTCCGAGTGTGCAAAGGTTTGCCCACCACTTCCCCTGCCTCACAGGACGGGCGAAGGCTTGGGATGGAAGGAAGTGACAGGCCATGTCCGCGGTCCGTGGACCCCCTCAGACTCTCCCTGCTGCGGGAAAGCTGCCCGTCCCCACCGGGAGCCGCCTAACGAAACCACCGCCTCAAGGCAGGCCAGCTGCCTGGGAAGTCCCAGGAAGTCACAGGAGGGCGGTCGGGCCGTAAATGACACCGTCAGGGCAGCCATGGGTGAGCCCTGCATGAAGCACCCAGCGCAGTCCCTACACCCGCAAGGACACCCTGACGCCACCACACGCAGGGCGTCTGGGCTGCGTTACCCCGCGGGGAGAGAGCATTCCCACCCAATCACCGCTTCCCGGTGTGACCGGCCAGGGGTCCGGGCTGGGCTCAATGGTGTGACGTCATGAACACAGTGTTCTACCAGCAGCGGGGCTATCACATGCTTCCCCTCCCAGAGCTCCAAGCGAGGAGAAAGGCCAGGGGGCGGGGGAGAGGGGGCTGCTGTCCAGACAGACTCACCCACGGCTTCCCATCACTTGGGCCAGCCCAGCGCAATGCCCCCTCAACACCCGGGCAGCTTCAGCCTCCCTTTCCCCCTAATGAACACACTAGAGCAGTGGTTCTCAACCTTCCTAATGCCGCGACCCTTTAATACAGTTCCTCATGTTGTGGTGACCCCCAATTTCATTGTTACAAATTGAACATAATTAAAGCAGAGTGATTAATCACAAAAACAATATGTAATTATATATGTGTTTTCCGATGGTCTTAGGCGACCCCTGTGAAAGGGTCGTTCGACCCCCAAAGGGGTGGCGACCCACAGGTTGAGAACCGCTGCTCTAGAGCCTCCAGAACTCAGGGTCACCTCGTCAGGCCCCCCAGGCGGAGTCCCCCAACTGTGTGCCCCTCTGCCAAGAAGAAACAGCAAGTCACACCGACACCCACCTGCTTGTCCCCTCCAGTGAGGGGAGGGAGGGGGCATTAAACAGGGCAGCCTGGGCAAGCCACGCCGCCCGCATGCTTCTCGGTGTCCACGCCCATCCACTCCGAAGCGCACTCACGGGCAATGGGACGGTTTACGGAGGAGAGCGCCCACGTCCCGAGCGACCAGGGTACTGGCCGCGACCCGCAGGTCCAGGCGCGGTG